TTTTTGCTGAGGAAGACTGGCCCTGGGCTAACATCCGTGCCCATCTTCCTCCACTTTATATGGGACGCTGCCACAGCATGGCCTGACAAGTGGTGTGTCAGTGTGCGCCCGGGATCCGAACCTGCGAACCCTGGGCTGCCACAGCGGAGTGCGCACACTTAACCGCTTGCGCCACCGGGCCGGCCCCTCAATGCCTTTCTTTTCTCAGATCTTACTGAGTAGATGATGTTTTCTCTGGAGAGTAAGGCTTTTTTCAGAACTAGCTGTGGGGCAAGTGGCGAGGGAACCCCACCAGCACTCACTCTGAGACTGAATGACAGATACCCTTTCCCCGGCTACTGCTGCCCTGTACCTGGGTCTGCAAGTCCTGGATATTCTCTGTTGACGGTTCTGGCAAAGCTGGCTTCTAGCTGCTTAATCACTCTGTCAGCTGAGCTGTGGTAGACACCAACTGGACTGCAGCACTTGGTCCAGAATGACAGCAAAGACAGCTTTTTGTGAAATTCTGGTATGGCTGGAAAAGAAGAGCAACCCCCATCCCACATCACACGTTTTGAATAAAGCAGATGAAGAGATGTACTGGGCTGGGGGTGGGGCAGGTATCACCAGGGGCTTTTTTTTTAAAGACTGTGGTTTTTAATCAGAACTACAAGATCCCTCTGTAGTTGGCAGGTGGTTCAAAGGGCAAAGAAGTTACCATGAGGAACTCATCCAGCCCGGGCAGCAAAGAAAATACAGCAAAAGCAATGCTATTTGCTTTCAGTGATAGAAAACACAGTAGCTCTACTCTTGGGAGATGTTCCAATCATCTCATCTCCTGTAACTTTACAGCAAAAAAAAGTACAGGATCAGAGAATCAGACCTCAGGAGATTTTTCTGAAGGCGATGGAACAGAAGAGTAGGTGGCTGGATGAGTTTTTTACCCTGCCCAGGTGGCTCTCAGACTGAAATGATTGAAGAGCACTGTGCCAGGTAGCACATGGTCAACATCTCCCTTGTGTGTGGTTGTGACCATGAAGAGGGGCCTGGGAGAGGCGAGGACACGAGTCACTCACAGCCTGAATGTCCCATCCCTTTTCATGCCTCTCAGAGACCTGCCAAGGTCACTTGCTCCTGGTAGGACTGGATGCAGGAGGCAGAAATGTATAGCGAGAACCTACAGGGAATTTAGGCTTAATCAGAGATAACCTAGAAGATCCTAGTGTGCCATTATTTCCACTGAATATCTGATGTGAAAAAAAGACAAAGATTGTTGTGTTTACAAAAGAGCCCTGTTGCCAGACCACACAAATACAAAGTCATCTTCCCCATGTCAAATTCTCCACCTAAAACTCTGAAGCAGGGACTCTTCTGAAGGCCTTTGAATCCATGTATTTCTACCTTTTCCAAGTAGAGTTTGGGGGCATCTTGTATTTGATAGCTGGCCGCTATGGGAGTTGTCTTAGCCAGAACAATCCTGATCATCTGTCCCCAAATGAAACCACACCAGCAGAAAAAGTCTGAAACTTTTGTGAAACTATGAGTTGGATGCTGGTTCTGTTTATACATTAGTATCTGACTTTTGGAGGTGGAGCCCCCTATAGGAAAAGCTATGTGTCTGCAGGTTTGACTCCCAAGGCTGAAGTGTGTTAATGAGACTGAACTAGCACGGAGACATTCCTCTATTCTGTGGCCCAAGAATGCTTTTCTGCTCCTGATAAAGCAATGAATAAGATGCAGGCAGAGGAGTGGGCCAGCGGTGTCACCGTTTACATGAATGGTGGTGTAATTTGCAGGTGCTCACCTTCGATGACAGAACTGATGTTTCCTATGTTCTCATCACTGACAGCTGAGAGTTTCTCCATCACCTGGATTTGCCTAGAAAGCTTCTCTAAGAGATTTCTGGCCACAAATGGGGTTTTGCTTGAGAAAACAATTTGCTGATAAAACAAACAAAACCACTGTGTCAATTATGTTGTTATCAATAGGGCTTTCCCCACCCAACCTCATCCTTCTTGAATGGAGTGGTGACATTAAATAAACTCATACAGTGTTTTTGTTCCAGTTTGACAATGTTCCTCATTCCATGCCGATTACAGCATCAATGAAATCAGACATGTTTTTGTTGCTTTAAGCTTTCTCATGCCTTATAAATCTGGAACTTTCTCAGTAGTAGAGCTGCAAAGTTACTACAGAGTTGCCTTTCCTTTTATGGACTGTAAATCTGTAAATCCTCTTTGAAACTTGGAGGGCATATTTAGGCTGCCTATTGGTGTGCAAGCAGAAAAAAGACTTATTTTACAAGTGTAGTAATTTTTCACAGCATGGATTTATTTTCTTGTTTTCAAGCTGAAAATTAAGAGCATGTTGTATAATAATCATAATTATAATCAAAGCTATCTCATTACAATTAACGAGTGCTTATTATGTACCAGGCACTGGTCTGAGGCCTATACATGTATTAGCTCATGTTATTGCTCACAACACCCCAGTGAGGTGGGTACTATTGATATTCCATTTTACTGATGAGGAAACTGAGGCACAGAGAGGTTAAGTAAACCGCCCAAAGTCACATAAATAGTAAGTGATTTCACTTGCGTGCAGGTCACAAGAATGAGGAAGGGCCGGAGAGAGGAAAGGACAGTAGTCTGTTGCTGCCTGAATGTTCTAGTCCTTTCTGTGTCTCTCAGAGGCCTGTCCAGGTCACCTGGTAGGCATGGATGCAGGATGCAGACCTGTACCACCATCCTGTCCCATCTAAAGCATTTGGATTCTACAACAAATAGGATTTGCAAACGTAAAGATCTAGTGCAGTAATTATGTACTAATGCCTTTCATGTAAGTAAATACATCAGAAATGAACTACTTTATTTTTTTTTTTTTTTTTTTTTTGAGGAGGATTGGCTCTGAGCTAACATCCATTGTCATTCTTCTTTTTTTTTTTTTTTAAAGTCCCCGTAGTTGTATGTCATAGTTGCACATACTTCTAGTTGCTGCATGTGGGATGCGGCCTCAGCATGGCCGGAGAAGCAGTGCGTCGGTGCGCGCCCGGGATCCGAACCTGGGGCACCAGTAGCAGAGCGCGTGCACTTAACCGCTAAGCCACGGGGCCGGCCCATGAACTACTTTATTTTAAACATAACTATAGCTATTATGATTCTTATAGAATGCTCATTTTTATCTCTCTGCAATTATATACCAAATGAATAAATAAACTTACTGATTCAGGAGTGAATGTGAGTTAGAAATTAAGTTTCTAGTCCTTACTCCTTCATTCTATGTCTTTGTATCTGCCTCTTTTGTTGATTTTCATCACAGAAGAATTGAACTGTTATATCATGGCCTTATTGTAGGGAGAAACACTGCACTGAATATTGCATGCCAATCAGTCTTTGGGAGAAAACGATCACCCCTTCATGGAAGAGGATTCTCTTATGTCTCACAAAATAATGACTTTACCTCTAAAAGGTGAATGGGTGGTTTGCTCAGCACAGAATCAGGCTCAGCGAGGACAAAGAGCTGTGCAAATCATCTCATTCAAATGGTTGGAGAATAAAGAATGGCTAAATATACAACAATCCTTGCCCATCTGGGTCAGAAAAAAAAAATCGCACCTTCTGCCAGATAGTTGTCAGTATCATGGCTTGTCAATTCAACAGTCAACAGAAGAGATCAAGTAGGGTGTTGGCCAACCTAGTGGCAAGAGGCATAACTGCCAACCAGTTTCCTACAGCACATAAGGTGTCTGAGGCTACTTGGCGTTCTTTATTTGTGGAGGAGAAGCATCTTCTACATCTCATCACGAGTGTGCTACTGAAGAAGCAACACTACCCTACTCCTGGCCTCCCTGGGACCCCTGCTCCTCACCTTGCCTCTTGTCTTCCGGTTGGTCCCGTGCTCTTAGGAGCATGATTCCTCCTCTTTTTGCACCCTTCCTCCCTGGCCCATCCCCCTGAAACTATTACACATTTGCTTTCACACTCGTTTCCTGTTCCCCACACATCCAAGCAAGCTGGAGAAGAACGAGATCGGGAGAAGATAAGCGACCAGGCAAGGAAGAAGCATTTAAGTAGATGCTTTGGGGGAAAATGCTGTGTTCAAGATAGCTGAAACCTTTCCTGCAACAGAAGCATTTCAATATATTTGCTCCACTGTTGCAAAATCGTAAGTGGTAAACAGATTGAAATAGAAGAAAAATATGCTCCATGCTGTCCCAGAATGAGAGGTAACTGGCGATGATAATGGCCTATGAAAGTATTCTTTCCTGGTGCTAATAACTACTTATTCAAGATCTGGGAAGCCATGATTATATTCTGTAGCATTTTGCTTTTAGCTATCCAGGTGGTGGGAAACTAATTCATGTGATGTATTCATATTAGCATATGTTCACTAATACTGGTTTTCAAAGTCCATTTGTAGATGGCAGAATGCAAATTCCTTTTTGTTTTTTCTTAATCACATTACTCTCATCTATTATCAAATGATTTGAAAGAGAGAACTATTATTTCACCTACAACCTTTTAAGGTCTGGAGATCTAGGTTTTAAGAAGGAAAACCCATGGGCCGGCCTCGTGGCTGAGTGCGCGCGCTCCGCTGCTGGCGGCCCGGGTTCGGATCCCGGGCTCACACCGACGCACTGCTTCTCCGGCCATGCTGAGGCCGCGTCCCACGTACAGCAACTAGAAGGATGTGCAGCTATGACATACAACTATCTACTGGGGCTTTGGGGGAAAAAATAAAATAAAATTAAAAAAAAAAAAAGAAGGAAAACGCAGGGTTGAGGAAGGATAGCCATGCCTATCAGAGTTTTTGAGTTGGCTCAAATCAGAGCAGGACCGTTCTCTGATTTCTGAAATCTCATTTCTCTGGCAAAACTAAAAAAAAAGAAGCACACATTCTTGGTGCATAAACAACCTGGGCTCTAAAAAACAAATGCAGTCACCAATCCTACCTGAACGAGTTGGGTGCAGTACTGTAGGTGCCTAACAATGGTGATGTCCAGGCTTTCATTTCCTGTGGTCAGTGGGAGGGGGCTTCCGGCCACACTAGTCCCAACTCCTGTATCTTCAGTCAGAGCTTCACTAAGATGCCCCCTGGCTTCCGGGTGTACTGATCTGTAACTGTTGAAGCAGGAAAGTGAGCAGAACATTAGCTATTTCTTTCTGTGTGGAAACCACAGATCAACTCAACATGGCTCACATAAGGCCCCCAATGGCACCCACTGAGAACAGAGTCTTTTGCTTGCCTACCTTGAAAAATCAAAATACTTTTTCTTAATTCAGCCTGGTCGCCAATTTGCCTAATGTTAAAAGATCATGCAAACAAACTGCATCCAGAGTTCTCTGTTTGTTTCTTAAGCACAATGAACCATTGTAAAGTAGTCTCACCCAGGAGTCTTTGAAACGTGCCCTCGTTCTGCACTTGTTGCACTTTCCTGCTCTGTTGACAGGGTGATTTGCCAAATTTTCTGGGATTAAACTGTCCTCTATATTTGTGGTTTCCCAAGAGCAGGACCATTAAGAAATAATCTGTCAAGTCTTTTTTTCTGGCCTCAGATCAATTGCTAGTTAAAGAAAAGGAAAAAGAAAAGCTGCCAAGAAGAGACATGATGTTCCATTCCAGACAAAAGCTAAAAGGGCCAGTAGACTCTTTAGGAGCCTAGCTCATTTATGCCTCTCAGGCTTTGTTTAACCCTACTGTCTAAAGGTATATCACGATGGGCACTTACATTTAAAAATAAATCAGTTGCATGTATTATTTAATTTTATTCTTAAAATGAATGTGTGTGCTGCAGAGGGAGGGAATGGTTGTCTCATTTCACACATGCAGGGACTGACGGGCAGCGATGTTAAGCAGAGTATCCTGGTTCACACGCTAGGCAGTGACAGGGCAGCTTTTGGCTTCTAGTCTCACGCTCCCCAGTCTCTACCATTTAAAAAGATCATGCACCAGAGCTTAGAGGCATTGAATGCTTTCCTCTGAGTCACATTTGCCTCCAAGGAGAAAGCAGTCAGCTTGTGTCCTGGCAGTCAACACATGGCAGTCAATACATATTTAAAACACATGCACAATTTTCACAATTTTCCCTAACACCTCAAATGAGATACAGTAAGATTGATCAAATTAGACATATTTAATATCAACGTTCTGTAACACGTACAAAAGCTGTGATGTTTTTGTTGTTAAAATGCTTCTTATAGCAAGAAGGAAAAAAATTTAGATTGATACCTGACCTTGATACGTCATGTAATAGCTTAAGTTGACAAGTGTATAGAAAGATTTTTGGTTAAAGAAGCATTTCACATTGGGCCAGCCTCGTGGCTTAGCGGTTAAGTGTGCGCACTCCGCTGCTGGCGGCCCAGGGTTCGGATCCCGGGCGCGCACCGAGGCACCGCTTCTCCGGCTATGCTGAGGCCGTGTCCCACATACAGCAACTAGAAGGATGTGCAACTATGACATACAACTATCTACTGGGGCTTTGGGGGAAAAATTAAAAAAAAAATTAAAAAAAAAAAAAGCATTTCACAAATTCCATCAAGTTAGAAAAATTTCAGTGTAGAATATAAAAGTATCACTTAAACATTACATTCATTTAATAAATTTTCTTTGCTATGCCCCCGGTTTGCTCAAGGGATAAATTCAATATTTCACTTTTTCTTTTCCTGCATTTATATTGGAAGACGAAACCCTCCAGGAACAACAAAATCCCTAAATATTACCACCACCCACAGAGAGGTTTGTGAAGGTTGAAGAGCCACAGCGTGTTGTAACTTGAAAACCTGTTTACATAACACGTCAAAAGTAAAGATGGGTGAGAAATCCAGCCTTTCCTCTGGGAAGGCGTCTGTGTATTTTTTTGCAGCCACTGATGGAGGTAAGCATGTTTCACAGCGCTGGTTTTGCTTCCCCTGAATTTACAAAACGGACTCCAGGCTCCAGCTTTTTTGTGTACAAGAAAGCCTGGTGGAGAAGGTGACAATATTTCACCTTCATCCTCCTTTCCCACTGCCCCGCCCCACCCCCACCCTAGAGAAGGCCACATTCTCCATCCAGAGGGCTGCAGATCCAGTGGCAGTTATCAGTCATTCCTTCTTACATTCTAAGGGAAATATGTCTCATTGGGGCTTAAACCTGGCTTTGGCATGTGCACTGATAAGCTTAATCTACTGCAAAGACCCCCTGGGCTAAAGGGAACAGAGAGATAACGTGATGGGGAAAACAAAGCACAACAAAACAAAGAGATTAGAAATAAGATGCCAGCCAAGGAGAACCAGGTCTGAACTGATCATCCTGAAAGACTTCTCCAGAATCAGTCTATCTATTAATTTGGAATTAATTATCTTGGGGTCAAGTTGTAGACACTGAAGCCTATAAGACGTCCACAAATGTAAATGTATACACACACACTTACACAAAAATTTCCCTTCATTTATAATGAAGAGGAGCAATTTATTTTCCCTTAAACAACACAAAAGAAGTGAACACTATATAAAAGTTGTACTCGACAATAAAAAGGAACTGTAAGCCAATTGGTCATTCATGTAGGGAGTTTGATCTTCTTGGAAATGTGTACCAGGTCGCGTCTGATAGTAACAAAGAACTACTGTACCATCTATGACAGGAGAAATATAAGCAGGTACTAACTTCAGACTTACCTATTTTTCTCAGTCTCAGTGTCTGAAAAGACTGAGTCAGGAACTCCTCCAACGTTACAAACCTCATCACAATCCTCCTCCTCCTCGTCAAAATCGGAGGTGTTCAGGAAATCAAAGCTTTCTAAAGCACTTTCAACTGTAAGACTTAAACTGGAAGACCTGCTGCGGCTTACTGCTGGCTTGCACTGCAAAGGTAGAAGGCACCAAGGAGAATATCAACATATTCAGAAGGAGAAACAGAACACACGACACCAAATTTGAGATGCGACACTTTCTTTTTTTCAGGCTTTTATTTTTTTGTTGGCATTTAAAAAAATGCGTTTAAAACCTTCATATTAAAAAAAGTACAATCATGGATAAAATGACACAATATCTGGGATTTGTTCCAAAATAATCCAGAGGGAAGTCAGCAGGTAGAAGAAAAGGTGAAACGAGATTGGCCACGAGTTGAGCATTCTGGAAGCCGAGGGATGGGCACATTGGGATCCATTATATGATTCTCTCTACTTCTGTTTGAAATTTTTATAATAAAAAGTTAAAAAAACTACTACAACCAGAAAGCCTTGGGGAACAGAAGGGCTACACTCCCTCTGCCTAGTGCTCGACTCCAAATAAAATACAAATAGCAGACAAATCTAAAGAGTCATTGAGTCAATGCTGGATACTAACCAATGTCTAATTCCACGCGGCAACGTCTTCAGTGTCCTGAGACAGGAGCTAGCTATCTCAGGCACCTGTGCTAAGGGGTTAACAAAACAAATCCCAGAAACAGAACACTGCTCCTGTTCACCTAGCCCACACTCCCTAGGTAAGTAGACTTAAATACTAATTTTACATTCACAGCATATACTTTTTCTTTGAGCATCTAGGAGAAAATGAATGGCCCCAGGCGCAACAATAAGTAGCCCTCCTTCCCCTACAGCTCTGTCTTTGAAGGAACAAGTTCCGTCACTTCCCTGACTCGGCACTGGAATTAAGTGAGGAAACCCATTCTATGGCCTGGAGGATTGTACGTTGCTAGACATAAACAGAAACATTACAAACAGAATAATGCCAGTTGCTATGGGCACAGAGATGGAGAGAAGTACTTCCAAATATTCAAGAGGACGCTGGGGTGGATTGAACGGGACAAGTCCTGCAAGTAAGAACTAAACATCCTCCATCCAGTTAGGTGGCACTCCTTGCTGAATTCTTAATGCAAGGCAGGAAGGGCCTTGCAGGGATCTGTCTCTGACACTCAAGATGGCACAAAAGCGCATGGGAAATCGTCTTTCAGTCTTTTAAATCAGAGTAGTTTCATTCACCCTCAGTGATCTCCGTCCAAGAGGCAGCATCATTTAGTTTCTGATCCTCAAGGTGTTTAGCATCCTAGGAATGTGAAGGGGAAAAAAAGAGAAAGCTTTGTCCAGCTGATGCTTTAAGTCTGGCTGGACACAAAGCCACTTGCCCCAGACCTAAACTCTAACACCATTTTTCCATCTCAGAGGGAGAGATGGAGCCAGACCAGACTCAACCCACTTCTAGGGTCTTCCCTCCTAAGCCATCCGCAGCTATCCGCAGAACTTGATCTTGCACAGTATGGATGTATTTAAATATGGATCATAACAAAAAAACGGAGAGTTAAGGATTTTAGTAGCAGGATCATTTTGGAACCACAGCAGATTGAAATAACACTTTGGAAAGAAATCAGTGCCCACCAGGTTTTTATAAGACTAACGGATGACTTGTTGAGTGTTTCCTGGTGGGTTGAGCTAGTTATGGGCACCCTAGATGCCTGGAAACTGGAGCTGCCATCACCACTGGCTTTCTTGAAGGCATTTGCTTTGGGGGGTCAATTGTGTCTTAGCTCTTTAAATTTAACACTTTTTGCCCACTAAGCAAATCTGGTCAACTGCACAAACCAGAGCTTGTTTGAGGGGATAAAAGATGTTCTCACTGGAATCTTAGATAAGCAGCCTTCATGCATGAGCCCTGAGCTGATGCTTTGAGTTATGTTTTACAGAAAGCAGATTCAGAGAGCCCTTCCCTGCTTCTCAGAGGCTATGCCTACAGCGGAATTAATCTGTCATGAGCATTAGAGGACCTGGAGAGTCAGAGCATGAATTATCGTTTGCCTGGGCACAAATCCCTTCCAGAGCTAGGTCAACGTGACTGAGAGGGCTAAGATGGTCAGAAAAGCCTTGGAAATGTAGTTCCAGATGCCAGTGGGAAGGCCACATTTTAAAACAGTCATACAAAGGGACGAAACAGCCTTCTGTGGATTGATTCTCAGCTCACCACTGGCACCTTATTTTCAACACTGTTTTAGAGAACAGGTCCTCAAAGAATTGCTCTTTCGAGAAAAAGGATCCAAGTTCTCTTCTACATGGTAAAATAAATCAGAGCAGCAGAGAATACAAGAATTGGCAGTGGGATTTGCGACAAAAATTCAAGTTCTGTCTCCTTGTGCAGTGTTTTTAAAAATCTAATCTGTATGCCAAGTGGAGACAGATACATTCTGGGGTAGCAATGATGATCTCATTATTAGGACCTCCTGCCTGAGAGAAAGTCGTCCCTCTCACTCCTACCCTCCCATGTCTACCCTGAGCCGTCTGATCAAGAAGAGAATGGAGGGAGATATCTCTGGTGGAGTCAGGGGTTCCCTGGCTTCTAGTGTGTGACTGATGGTTATTTGTGGATGATTAATCTGAGGTTCTGACTCACTGATTTGGGCCAAGTCCAGAGAACAGAATCTTCCAGAATTCTTCCATGGGGAGAGGAGATGCCCTTGGCTCTCACATGAGGGCTGGCTAACTCTGACTTCAATCAGAGAAGGGATTTTCTGCTTTCCTGGGACCCCGAGAGGCACCCTATCCAGGAACACCTCTATGAGATTATGATGATCAAAATGCCACCATTTCACATTTGGGATTAGAATGATTAACTCTGGGACTGGAGGAGTTTAGACATTCTTTAGAGCTGTTATTTTAACTCCTAATCATTTTAGTTAAGTTGATCTATTGTCAGGAAAGTAAAAATTAATATGCACTACTGGCATTAAAAATCAATGCCATTTAAATGATGATTATCTATTGATCCTGTGATGGGACAAGATAAAAAAAACGCTATCTTAAATGGAATGTTCTCTCTCCTCTCCAAACCTAGTCCAATTTCTCTGAAAAGGTACTTACTTTTAGAATATCATCCAAATGCATGACTTCTTGGTTCAGATCCTGAAACTCTTTATACTGCTCTTTATGTGGTTCTAATGCAAGGAAAAGCCCATTAAAGGCATCCTCTAAGCTTCCATCTAGAAAGGATCTACAGCCTTCGGATTCTCCACTGACAGAGCCCTCAAAGGGCCTCTCTGTGGCCACCGGCACCTCTGCTGAGGTGAGCCTCTTGACCAGTTGCTTCGTGATGTTTCCTTCGAAAGTGTCCAGTTCCACAGGCTTGAGTTCAGAGCCTTCATCAGACTCTTGCAGAAGTGCCTCTGTGACATCCTTCTCAAGGAACAGGCGCTCTGCACCTGCAGATACTCGGCAGGCCTCGGGTTTTTTGGGCCCCTCTGCATCTTCCTCCAGGCGTGGCTTTGGCTCTCGACCTTCTCCCAAGGAGTTTCTGGAGGACGCTGAGCTGGTGTTGTTCATGCCCTCATTCTGGGAGGACAGGCTGCTGTAGTTCAGCTCGGCAGGGGTGACGGTAATTTCTGGATTTGCTGAGCACCCGTTGGAGAGAGAGCCAGCTGGGTTGGGGGTGTGGGCACAGTCTCCATTGGGCAGGTCGTTGAAGCTGAGAGACAGTGGCGTTTTCTCCTCAGCCGCCTTTCCATTGTCAAAGATGTCATCAGGTAGATTAGACTGTGGATAAAAGGCATCTCATTATTATTTTAAATATGAATGATGCATTTGGCATGGTTTATTTCCAGACAAAATGTAAGGCAATTGAAACTAAAAAACCAGAACTTTCATAATATTAGCATTTTCTTTGGTGATTATGTGTGTGTTTATGTCCAGCAAAAGAAAACAAGCCCTTAAAAACCCTATGTCCATTGTTGAATCTAGGTGAAAGTTCATTGTACTATTCTTAGGTTTGACATTTCTCAAAAGAAGGTTGGGGGAGGATAGTGCTTAGTTCCTAAATCCCAGCGTCTCACAATATTTGGCAGCCATAGTTATGTATCACACTACCAATTTGTTTTTTTTGGTATCTGTCTTAAAAGACTTTCCAACATTCATGCTATTTTACGCAAAAGATGTGATGCTTTGTTCTGCTTTAGTTCTCATAAATTAAAAAAAATCTCTACCCACAAATCCCCAAGCCCTTGAAAATGTTTTATTAATTTAGTAACCATGCCACAAATAGTTCAAGGCCAGAAACACATTTGCATAGCTTCTATAAAAATAAGAAAAAAAGACTAATAAACTGAACATCTCTCTTCCAGAAGTGTAAACCCCAGAACTCTCAGGATATCTAGAAAGACTGAGTCCTCTGTCAAGCAGCCACAGGCTGGGTCAGCTATGCACTGTGATTCATGAAGCTGAACTTGGAAGAGAGAGGTCAGAAATATCCAGGTAACCAAGATAATTCGTTTATGCAGGCATTAAACAATTTCTAAGTCATCTTTCCTTACACTGTGGTCTGTGTATAGTGTCTAAGTGCCAAATGTTGCTCTGTGAAAAAAGTTTTCTAGTTATTTGAGATCAACTCCTTCAAAATGGATAATTTCTCTTGGATTCCAGATTTGATTTTTTAAGTAAACGGTAAGGACCAAGCTAATGCCTATTTTAACTATATATAAAGCAACAAATTATCACAATAGTGCTGGGAATAAGCCCAGGAAACAAAAATGTCACAGCCAGTGAAATGGGGAGCAGACAGAAAGACAGAACCTCCTTGTCCTCCTCCAGCAGTGTCCCTGGTTCCATCACTGCTGGATCCGGGGCCACTAGATCCCAACCCAAACTCTCCATTTCCCCCTGGATGTAAGGTGGTTAGCTTTAACCACAGGGTGAGTAAGAGGATATGTCACCGGGGCACTCAAGTGACCTCTGCAGGCTCAGGGTCTTTGCCTCTAAGACTGAGAATGTTTTCCTCTATTAGCGACTATCGAGCTGTGCTCCTTTGAGTCCTGGGGGTGGAGTTCCAGGGAACCTCCTCTGGACTGCAAAAGTGGGGGTGGGGTGGGTCCCGGTGCTCCTCTCCTGCACCTCCAGCTTGTTTCCTCCCCCTCTATTTGCATACTCCCCTCCCCCTTACACACTTTCTGCCTCTAGGAGAGATAAAAGGGGGAACTGCTGGGGAGGGATGGGGGAAGGAGTCCTACTCCCTGGACTTTCTCTGTGGGGGTCCCTCCTGCATCTCTCACAGAACCCTTGGGTCCTCCAAGTGGTCCTGTCCAGCCTCGTCTCATCTTCAGGACACACAGGTCGTGGCAGCTCTAAGGGAGGTGAGAGGTATTGGCTGTAGCTGGGGGACTGGGTAGTTAAAACTCTTATTCAAATTCTAAAGTTACCTCCAGCATTTTCTCTTGGTCTCACATTCCCAAACCCAATTTGCACCTACTTAAGTGGTAAATGTTGAGTTAGAAGAAGTTGAGATGCCCTGCCCAAACGGACTTACAGTCTCCTAAGGGGATGAGCCTATAAACAGGCGCACAATGTACAAGGGAATGCGTGTTATAACTGAGGAATGATATAAGGAGGTAGGAACCCCAGCAAGGGGATGGCTGCCGCCTGGGAAAGAGATGGTCCTGCTACTCAGCCTTGGAGGATGGGGAGGTGCAGGAGAGGAAGAGGAGGAGGAAGCGCATTCTAGAAGGAACAGTGTGTGTGCAAAGACAGGAGATCCTGAAAGGGTGTGGTACGGTTGGAGGACAGTGGGGAGCTCAGGGGAGCTCGAGCAGAGGAAGAAGAGTGGAGAGGTGAGAGGTGGGCTTGGAAAGCTGGGCTGTGATCACACGGGAATGGCTGCTCTGAGGACCTTTGCATTTATCCAAAAGGTTATAGGAAGCCATCAAGTTTTTCCCAATCTTGCTCTCGTTTAAATTACGCTATTAAAACCTCTACCAACTCCCTCCATGACCCTCCAACTTGCAGTACATGAGCATGAATACACAAATTCCGTTGATAGTTACATATACAACTACCAGCTGTATTGTTTTTTGGTACATGTTTTCACCCGTATTTCCCCCGTACAGTCTTCCCATTTTCCTTGGAAACTCCACTAGAGGTTAGCCTGGTCCTTTTCACCTGTGTTTTTAAATTCAGTGAATATGAGTCAATTATTATTATATTAAACCAGAAAACTTTTAATCCTTCCCTCTCTGGACATTCAAAGATTACCTTTGTATGTCCGTAAAGAGCAGAGTATTCCATGTATGCATATGTGTGTGTATGTGTCTTCTCTTGTGACATAAAGTATAACACATATAATGTAGGTTACCTATTGCATTCCTGATTGTGAATAAAGAGTTTCTTTTACTAAGTTAGCACAAAATTAACAAACATTACAATAAACTAAGACTAAGAACCTCTTTAAATAAAAATAGCGCTAGTAAAATTGGTTTAAATCCTGCTGAGTTCCTCGAATGCCAGTGTTTGAATGCTAAAAGGGTGCATAAAGATTAATATCAGTGATAAACTAGTTTAACTTGTGAAGGAAAATCTTCTTTGACCTTCAGTGTAATTGCATTTTTTAAAAGTGAAAATCTTGTTACCACGGATATCTTTGCCACAGTAGAGAAAAATCACAGCACAAAAGCAGGGACGATTAGAAGAGAAGGACAAACTGCCTCTCTAACCAAGGTGCATGCGTGACCAAGCTCCCATCCCCAGGGACAGGACGGCAGTAACTGTTACCCCACGACCAAGACAGAGAAGAAGATAAGAGCCATGCCAAAGCATACATGCCACGAGCCCCCGAAGTCAAGCACTTCACACCCGGGCAGGCCACCCACACTCACATAAAACTCTAGCACGGCCTTGGGTCTCAGCCTGAGGGAGGGCAGGTCGCTGAAAGAGCGGCTGCGGTGCAGCTTGGCAAAGAGAGTGTCTTGCAAGGCACTCAACACAGACAGCCGCCTTGGCTTGTCTGGTGAAGGGTGCAACCATCTCTTCAGAAGTCAAAGCAACATGGGGGAGTTAGTGGAAGGCATCAGGTTACCGTGTTTTGTTAGCTTTTTAGAAAGCATTTCTGATTAAAACAAGGAGGCCATTATTTATTTACATCTATTTCTTTAAAAGGCTGATCTTAGAGAAGGTTCAGAAAAGTCTACATGTTGTACCACAGCAATAGGTAAGCTGGGGAGGGAAGAGGAAGGACAGAGGTTTACCACCTGTGCGCATGTGGCCAAAAGCATCCTAGAATGTGCTTTCCTAAGGCACTACTTGATTAGGGTGAACTTTACGAATAACATTATTAGCAATTATTGAGAATCCCTAATGCCTTATGTTAAGCATTTCAAATACTGGGTGTGAGCATTGCCTCAGGCTCATCACCTCTACTCTAAAAATTGCACTGAACTTACGAAGAAGGAGTGATCCTTGAAGGGGGGTGTTTCCGGGGTGCCCTGGCTGTACATGGACATTCTCCTCTGGAGGGCTGCCGTCTTGTTCCCAGCGCCTGAGGATGGGGTCACATCCTCCACGTCAAATGGACTACAAAACAACAGGTCCCAATGAATGCATGTTGTTAAAGTCGCCTACATATAATCACAGGACTGTGGGCCAAGAAAGCACCTCATTACACTAAAGTAAACTCAAACCAGTGGGCACTGGGCTGGTTTTGGCCAAATTGGTTTGTCAGAAAATCAACCAAGATTAAAGAAAGTGGAGCAGAAAACCGAGTCTAGACCCACCCAAGGTACCAGATTATTATCACAGTTTTAAACACGATTTATCTATACACCTAGATACTAGATAAATCTGTTTCCTCATTAACATAAGAAACATAAACACATTAATTCTTGCCCCAACACAAGATGTTAAGGGAGTCTGTAAAAATTCTTTGAGTTTTGGGCCTGCCCCGTGGCTTAGCGGTTAAGTGCGTGCGCTCCGCTCCTGGCGGCCCAGGATCAGATCCCGGGCACACACCGACGCACCACTTCTCTGGCCATGCTGAGGCCGCGTCCCACATACACCAACTAGAAGGATGTGCAGCTATGACATACAACTATCTACTGGGGCTTTGGTGGAAAAATAAATAAATAAATAAAATTATAAAAAAAAAATTCTTTGAATTTTGTAGGGATAGACACTGTAACAATACAAGAGAGTAATCGATTATTGTTCAGTTCTAAAGAAAGCACTCAAAAATAGAATCCCGTTCATCTCAGGTGACACAGAGACTCTTGCGTGATTGAGTCTGTTCACAATGACACCACTTATCATCACGACCTCCGGTTCACCAGCAAGAGGAATGATCCTGCATTGGAGATGTCAGTGACTACAAATTATGAGGAGGGGAGGGCTGGGCATAAGGTGATGACACTGTTTCAGTGACACAGCAACAGCGTCCTTGCTGCTTCCGTGCCTGACCCTCTAGATTGTAAAGGAGACCCTGAATGTTAATACTCAACATGCATATATATACACAATGGAATACTACTCAGCCATAAGAAACGATGAAATCCAGCCATTTGTGACAACATGGATGGACATTGAGGGTATTATGCAAAGTGAAATAAGTCAGAGGAAGAAGGTCAAATACCATATGATTTCCCTCATTAAGTAGTAGATAATAACAACAACAAACAAACACACAGAGACAGAGATTGGATTGGTGGTTACCAGAGGGGAAGGGGGGAGGGAGGAGGGCCAAAGGGATAATTCGGCACATGTGTGTGATGATGGGTTGTAATTAGTGTTTGGGTGGTGAACATGATGTAATCTATGCAGAAATAGAAGTATAATGATGTACACCTGAAATTTATACAATGTTATAAACCAATGTTACTGCAATAAACAAAATAAATAAATAAATAAATAAATAAATAGATAAGGGATATTAACCCCCCGCCCCCCCAAAAAAATACTCAACATGCCGTCTTTACTTGATAATACATTGGGGGCATAATATGAAATGTTGTGAGCAACTAGCATTTAATAACTTATCACGGCCTTTCTCATGGGGTGACTTTAGAAAACAACTTCTAAGTTCATTGCTTTGACAAAAGGTACCTCTTGCCCTTTGGAAAAATTCTATTTCAGTAAATAGAGTGTGGAGGGACTAAGGATATTTAAAAATTTCGAGGGCACTGTAAGGTATATGAGATATAGGAGGATAAGCACAGCGAGCATTAGGATCTTTCTGAAGGCAAAATCTCTTATTGGACAGTTATTCTCTTTTAAATTAACTTATCTGAGTGACATATTTCTATTTTTTTCTTTTTCTTTTTTGTGAGGAAGATTGGCCCTGAGCTTACATCTGTTGCCAATCTTCCTCTTTTTGCTTGAGGAAGATTAGCCTTGAGCTAACGTCTGTGCCAACCTTCCTCTATTTTGTATGTGGGTTGCTGCTGCAGCATGGCTGACGAGTGGTGTAGGTCCGTGCCCAGGATCTGAACCTGCGAACCCAGGCCGCCAAAGTGCAATGTGTTGAACTTAACCACTATGCCTCAGGACTAGCCCAGAGACGTATTTCTTTCTTTTTTTTTTTCCGAGGAAGATTAGCCGTGAGCTAACATCTGATGCCACTCCTCCTCTTTTTGCTGAGGCAGATTGGCCCTGGGCTAACATCCGTGCCCATGTTCCTCTACTTTATACGGGACGCCGCCACAGCATGGCTTGACAAGCAGTGCATCAGTGTGTGCCCGGGATCCGAACCTGCGAACCCTGGGCTGCCGAAGTAGTGGGTGCACACTTAACCGCTATGCCACCAGGCCGGCCCCCTGAGACATATTTCTTTACATGTATTTAAAGGTAGAAAAGGAGGGAAGGAGGCAGAATAAAATATTTTAAAATAGGAAGTAGAAAAGGAGAGCAGTGACAAGACAGAGGCTTCTCCAACGTTGGCATGTGTGAACATCACCTGGTGAGCTTGTTAAGCAGATTCTTGGGCCTTGAGAGAGTCTGACATAGTAAGTCTAGGGTGGGGCCTGAGAGTCTGCTTCTGTAACGAGCTCCCTGGTGGTTCTGATGGTCCACGCACCACCCTTTGAACAGCATCAGTCTGTAGCATGTATGTCTACACGATGAAATCGAAAAAGGGCGACTTACTACCAGGTGATTTCCAGGTTCAGTTTGATGGTGCCAAGGTCATTGATGTCAACAGCCACCACCTGAGGTCGGGCTGCAAACAGATCTTTGGTCTCGCAGGTCACGCTGCCGACCAGGAGGTGAGTTGCTAGTCCTTTGAGCTCGGTGACCTAGTAAGAGAGTGAGGGAGAAGGCCTTAGAGGACAGCAGAGGAGAAAGGTAGGAGACTATTTTCCTTAGCCAGTTCAGTCGTTTCTTTCAGAATCATATCTGAGGTGGATGTTTCCAAAGCCCGTCTTACATTTCCTTTGCCCGCTCTCATACGAGAGCAGCGGTCTTTGCGATGCACTTGCAGCGCAGAGACAAGTCTAGTCTATGGGTCAGAGGGGCAGCAGGCAGAAGCGACGGGCAAAGGTCCCCTCCAATGGGTCATGCAGCTGTGGCAGCAGCAAAGACAACAAAAGGCAATGACAATACTGTACCTTGATGGAAATGAATCCAACGATCAGGGGCAGGAACACCACTTCCTCTCCATCCCAGCTCTGTTTGCCGTTGACTTCTATTTTACCTTTCAGTTTCCACCTCTGTCGGCCATACTTCATAAAAATCTGGGGAGAACACACCAAACGGCCCTCATGTTCCACCGCCCTCGCCCGCCTTCCCTTCCCAAACACCAGGCTCAAAAATGGCCAGTCAATAAAGCAGCTGCCCCTCCCCCTCCTCCAGCATCCTCACTCCATCCGCTTAGTACCCATTCTGCCCGATTTCCCAGGCTCTGGGGGTGGAGCAGATGATGAGTGGGGAAGAGACTTTCGAAACGGAGTAAGCTCTGTATCTCTAAGACAGAGGGTGTGGAGGGCTTTATTTAGTAAAAGGTCATCCCTCCACGCCCTTCTGCTTACTCAGGTCAAGCACTTCTTTCCCGGTAGTTCTACGTCAATAGAGCAGCCATTGGATTAATTCTCCACAATCCCCAGCTCCTTTACAGAGCTAAAATCCTTTACAGAGAATCAGCTAAAATCTACTCAGCAAGAAATAAGACATCTTCCTTCTGGATGAGGGACATGGAGCTGGACCAGGATTTTGAAATCTGATATACTCTGGGGAGAGAGTGTGCAGTCTCTCCTTGGCCAGACAGCTTTACTATTTAGGGGAAGACACAACACCGCCACTCCCCCAAGAAGTAGATGATAGAGGGTTTTGGAGGAGATAGTTACATGATAAGTTCCCTTTTGAAGGGGGAAAAAATAAAAAGGTTTTTTACTTTATAGAGTATATTTTTATAAAGATCTAGATACTATTATTCTTCAATCACGATACTTATGAGCATCCATAATCTTGAATTGGATTTTGGATCAGGAAAAAAAACTGCTATAAAGTATAATATTGGGACACTTGGCAAAATATGAATATAGACTGTATATCAAATGCCATTAGCTAAAGTGCCACTGTTAAATTTACCGTGTTGAGAATTGTACAATGCTTATATGAGAGAACGTCCTTCCATTCTTGGGAGAAGAATTTAGGGGTGAAGTGTCATGATGTTTGCATATTAGTATAAAATGGTTCAGCAAAATAACAACAACAACAATAACAGTAATAATAACAACAATAAAGCAAATGTGTCATAATGTTAAAAATTCGTAAGTCTAGATGAAGGGTATAGGGAGGTCTTGTACCTCCTTCTTCATTCTCTAAACTTTCTTATTGGCTTAAATTTTTTTTAAAATAAAAAAATGTAAAAAAAAAAACACAAAAGACAATTTAAGAAGCAAAATATTGACAACTGATACCCCCCCATCAAATCCTCAATGCCGACACCCACACCAACAAAATACTTACTTCATATTGATCTCCAGGACAGAGGCGAGCGAAGCCAGCCAGACCTGTAAGCAAGCAATTGAGTTGAGGTCAGAATATATGCCCCCCCTTTACAAACCCATACTGGTACACTGATAAAACTCAACTAAAGTGTCAGACCTTTGTGAAAACTCATGCAGTAATTTTGGGGACCATCTGTGGGAACAGCTATTGTTGGGAATTCCATCTATGGCTGTTAGAGAGGACATTCCTTGGGTAGGGGGACAAAGAGGTGCTTTCTGGGGCAGAGAAGGCTGTTTGGGGGTGTTAGAGCTCAGTGTACCTTTGGCCGATTGAAGGTCCAAGCAGATTCCAGGATCAGGGAATTAGGACGAGGAAGATATATTCATTTATTTACCCAACATATTCCCGTGAAAATAAACTGCTCCCTTGTTTTTCTTTTTGTTCCAAGATTTGTGATTTCTTTTTTTATTTTTTATTTTATTTTTTTGTGAGGAAGATCAGCCCTGAGCTAACATCCATGCCAATCCTCCTCGTTTTGCTGAGGAAGACTGGCCTTGAGCTAACATCTATTGCCAATCCTCGTCCTTTTTTTTTTTTTTCCCCTTTTTCTCCCCAAAGCCCCAGTAGATAGTTGTATGTCATAGTTGCACATCCTTCTAGTTGCTGTATGCTGGGACGCCGCCCCAGCATGGTGGACAAGCAGTGTGTCGGTGCGCGCCCGGGATCCAAACCCGGGCCGCCAGTAGTGGAGCGTGCGCACTTAACCGCTAAGCCACGGGGCCGGCCCCCGTGATTTCTGATGAGTGTCTCCCACTTGGCTAAGAGTCCACGGCCTTACTTCCCTTGCCTCTCCTCAGTTCACTACTCCTGTTTGTCTTATCCTTTTTATCCAGGGTAATGATACCACTACCTACTGTGTTATGAAATCACTGAAGATGTATTATCATCTACACAAAACTAGTGACTAAGAAAACAACATCAAACCAACCAAGCAAATGACAGCAACCTGGACCCCCAAAATGAAGATTGGGCTTCTCTGCTACTGTGCCATCCAGCAGGTCATTTCTAACTGGATCTGCTCATTCTGAGATCCAATATGATATCTGGCATAGCAGCAAAACCAAATCTTGTCAGACTAGGTGGCCACTGTCTTGGGACATCCCGAACCCTGATCTGATCGGTCTTTCTCTTTCTTTCTATAGATATTTACTGAGAGCTCACTGTGTGTGAGGATCTATAATTTGGGGTAACAATCTGGAGATTAAGAAAGACTTTACAGATACCCATAATACAGAACAAAATATCGTTAAAGCCCACAGGAATGAAACAGACAAGGACCTGTAGGTAGTAAGATGGAATTAAACCTGAGGTTGATTTCTGTCTTATATACCAGCTAGCCTACTTACTCTAAATAATTTACTTAACTCCAGTTTCTTCACCTTTAAAACAGGGATAACAATGTCCACCTCATAGAATTGTTTGTAAGGACAATAGATGGCATCTGGCATATAGTGGGTGCTTAATAAGTGGTAATGATTATATATCCAGGAGTGCGATGATACTATTTATTGAGCACGTGCCATATATGGTTCATTTACAAGATGTAATCTACGTGGAAAGATACAGCAAATTGACACACACGAAGGAGGAGAACAGCAATGGAGAGACAGTAAGAGATCTTTGATTTTTTCTGTACTTTGACATTTTATAAGAATATTACTTATACAATTAAAATGAAGAATCTCTATCTCATTTAATGTAGGATAATTTCATGGGGGGAGGTAGCATTTGAATAACAGAATTTCATCTCAGTAAAATGAGGGCATGGGGGAGAAGATACTTCCAGGCCGAGTGAGTGGGATGTATCCATTCAACAATATTTCCTGAAGGCCTACTGTGTGTCAAGCATGAATAAAGCTGTGGGGAAGAAAGCATGCAAATCATACGCGCACAGTGAATACAGGGGACTAAGCTGGTCAATAGAGGTTTGTCAGTAATCCTTGCTGTACTTGAATCAGTTGTTTCCGGCTTTAATACCTGTTTCCATGTCAATCACAAAGCAAAGTCCTTTACCCTGATAGGGACTGGAAGACAAATTTTTAATGAAGGAATGAAACAAATTTAATAAAAATGGGCAAAATCTTTAGCACATTTTCATTTTCTGGTGAAAATAACCAATACAATTTTATGATAAAAATTTCCAGTTAAGAATTCAGTACAAATGTTTAGAGTGAACTTTTAATAAAAGACAATATTTATAATGTAATATTAAGGGGAAAAAAAAAAAGGCAGGATACAAAACCTTATGAAGAGTGTGATCCCCACTAAATAAAAATGTATCCAGAGGAAAAAAGATCTGGAAAAACATACCAAACTGTTAAAAATATCTCTGGTAGGGTGGGATTATGGAGAAAGTGAAATGTTTGACATTAAGCAGTAATTTTTATTTGATTTTTTTTCAAATATCATGTACTTATTTTGTAAGAAAAAAGATATAAAAAAGAACACATGCTGATAGGCAGCATACACACAGAGAAAAGGCTGGTTGGATATTCACGACAATTTCAACGAAGTTTAGCACTGGGTGGAACGATTATGTATGATTGTAAATTTTTTGGTATGTTTCCCAATATTTAAAAAAATGAGAAGGTAACACTTTAAAAAAGTTAAAACAGAGATTTGAGAAGAGAAAAACAATCTTTCTCTTTTCACAGAGGTGGCCTAAGAGGAAATAATTTTGATTAGCTGGTACAGAAACAGCCCTGTGGTTCTTAGATTCCCTCACTCGCACAGACCTCCACATGACAAACTGACTCCTTGGTTACTCAGCCTCCTCAAAAACCCTTTATGACCTTTGAGCTCTTTGTTTTTATATTAGTTGAAACACAATTTAACCCACATAAAGATGATGGGGATAGTATCATACAATGTGTTTTCCCTTCTATGAATAGCCCTGTTAAGTTGTGAAACTACTGAGCGAATGAGTCTGCTCTCCACCTGTCTGATGTCAATTGCCAGGGTCAAGATGATGGAGAAGGTCCAGGCAAGCTTAAAAAGCACTGCTGTTACCAATGTCTGTCAGTAGATGGCAGCAACTCACCAGCTCGTCACCCCTCCCCACCCACGGAGCCAGTCCATTTAGGACCAGTTTTCACCAACAATTAGAACATAACAAGCCACTTAAAACGATTTACTGAAATAAGAGCCGAATTAAAGAAGCCAATTTTCACTAATAATTTTCTGGAGGATTTAGTCTTTTTTTTTTTTTAAACTTCTGAAAGAAAGCACAATTGACTGGTTTTTATAAATCACAATTGGCTGGACATGCCAATTCTAATAAAATTGAAAGTGCTCTTTAAAAACCTCTGCAAATTAGTTCAGGATTCATCCATCGCTTGTTTACCTGTACAATTACAACGGAAGCCTGGCAAAATACAAACTTTTCTGGAATTGGTGCTGGATAAAGGGGAGTAAAGGGAAAAAACCTTTGAAGCTTTTTTTTTTCCTTTCAAAATTACCAGAAATTTTGCATCTAAATAACATATCCGAATGGGAGAAAGACACTTGGTAGCGATGCTTTTGAGCTTCTCAGCCCATGTTATTAAAGCAAAATTTCCTTTTTTTTTTTTTTTTGGTTGCTTATAAGTGGTATCACACGGATACCCTGATTATAAAAATAAGGTAGCAAATGGCAACAGGCGGGCAAAAACAAGTCCGGCGCTGTGCTTCCTCAACTTCTATCTGCTTGGGTAAGCCACTCACGGTACTGGTTGCAGAACTGAAACTAACGGTGGGGCAATTCGAGTTCCAGCCTCATGTCTTTTAAACCTGGCTGGGTTTCTTTCAGACGCTGGTCTGACGCCTGCTGGGATTTTCACAGTTGGGGAAACCTTAATGTTTCTTCAGCAGTTTTGTGATTACTGTTGCGCTGTCTACAAAGCTGTCATTATGGCCACTCAAAAAACCAACCTGGGGATGGGTGTGGGGAGGTGGTGGGGGTCAGGGGACTTTGATTTCCGTGGTGCATCTCCCTGTACCTTTCGGATGTTTTAACGGTAAACACATACTACTGATAAAACAGTTCTTCCACGGCTTGTCTGGAAGGCCCAGATGCTACAGTATGCAGCCGTCCACTCTTTTCTTCCTTTGCTCGGGGACCATTCTGTCAGAAGAACGCTCCCCATTTCTTCTAGTTCTATGATGATCTTCCTTTCCAAGAGTCATACTCTCTACTCCAAGGAAAACAGCCTGAACAGCCTAGCAGCTGACCAGCCAGGAGCTCCCGTTCCAGGCCTGACTGATTTATTGACAGGTGTAAATCATGCAGGTTTAGATCTCACTGGAAGTTCTTCCCTCTCCAGAGGCCTGACTACCCTGAAAGCTGTAGGGGCCAGCACAGACTTTTGGATATGCACACTGCCTGGAACTTAATTTGAATTGAGTCATAATTGGAAGAAGAACTAGTTTTGCCTAAGAGATCACATCTTTTAATCTCCATCCCGGCTGTCAGTTCATGGGTCTAGGGTGCCCTCTCTAGTCTGGCATTCGAGTCTCTTCAAAATCTGGCCCCAACTAATTCTCCACACTCTTCTCCCAACCAGCACTTCAGCCTCACCAGACTACCTGGCATTTTGAACATGCTTTTCCCTCTTTGGTGAATGCTATTCCAGTGCCATTCATCTGCCCAGAACAGTCTTTCTCATTCTAATTCAAAGGTTACATTGGGGAGCCTTCCCTCCACCCTGCCCCCCACCTCCACAGGTGAGTGGCAGCTTCTCCGCCCACCCCTCAGGCTCCTGAAGCAATCTGGTCACACTACTGGTCTGGGAGCTCATTTATTCCATTGAATTAGAACGCACTGGCTCATTCTTCCATTTTCCCCAGTCGATTGTGTGGAACTCAAGGCCAGAGCCCATTCATCAGGATGCAGCCTGTGCTTGGCCAACAGCAGGAGCCGGATAAGTGCTTCATCAATTGTCCTTATCATCATCATCATTGCCTCTGCGCCTCCCCCCTCCCCCCACCAAAAATAGTTGTTGTCTACGTGTTGGGGTGGGGCAAAAAGGGAAGTGTGGAAGGGTGTGGCAGGAGGAAGTTGGGTTACCAGGTCTGAGAATATTATGAAATATTCTTAATTTATGTCAATATGTATCTTGGGGTGGTTATTTCTAGCAGAACGAACAACAGATAAGAAAGTAGCTAATTGCAAAGATATAAGATTTCTTGGCAGCATGAGAGGGCTTCCCTTTATCAAGGGAGAGAAAGATTTCCATGGGAGCATTACTCTTGAAAGGCTTCATAGATGTAGTTTCTGAGTTTTCGTGTTAGCTTAGGAAAGTGGAAGTGAGATAAACCTATAACGAAAAAGGAGAATCAGTTTCAGGCCTGAGAGACCCTCTGGGAGAAACCCTGAGTCCAGATAGAAGCTAAGGAAGCTGATCAGGCAGGAGAGAGACAACAACCCTGAGAGGTAGAGATAGAAGAGCAGAAGCAACAGAAAGTTCTGTCAGTCCGTCTTGAACACCCATTATAACCTGGTGCTATTATTTAGCTGTGTGGCCAGGGCCCCCAGCACCATGTTCTTACCTGAAGGCCCGAAGCTCCAGATCTGGTGGGTAGGGTGACCCTTTCCTCCCACCCCGCTCCCAGGGTGCCTGTGTGTTAGGTTGGGGAAGACCATCCCATAGAAGAGACCATTCTTTGAGCAACAGTCTACAGTATCTGCTCAGTTCTGGTAGAACTTTCCTCCTAATACAGGGCTGGGGGTGGGAATACTCTAGGAGCCAAGAGCCCTGGAATTCAGTGTAAAGTTTGACCCCACCTTACTGTGTGACTTCTGGGACAAGTCACTTAATACTCCTTGTACTAACAGTGAGAAGATGTGCGTGATCTGAAATTCTCTTGGCTGCGAGACTCTACAACCGTGGTGGTCTGGTAGATGGTGCCTGAGCATTGGGGAAGGAGAGGGAAGTGTTTTCTGCTAAACACTGGTTCAGGGCAGTTGTTTTCCAGAATCAGGCTGCTGACAGAATCATCCTGAGAGGTGAAAAATAATATTCCCTGACTTGCTGGGATGGGCTCAGGGCCTGAGTGGTTTTGGAACCACTGACTCTGGTGAGGACCCAAAATGAAGAGAATGGACCTAAAAAAACAGAAAAAGCACAGATGCCCAACCTCAGTAGTAAAATAAGTGTTGAGATTTAACCCTGAATAACAAACTGATTTGCTGTCAGATCTGCTGGAGAAAGCAGCCATTTGGGAAGCTGAAGGTCAAGGTAATTTTGATTCCAGGTGTTCTCATTCAGAGGTGCTCTCACATGTCCTACATTGTACTTGACAGAAGAATTTCCCTCCTGAGTTAGATGATTCATTCAAAAATAAATCTCTCCTGTTGAGCACTTTGGAAAAAAAAAAGTCCCCCTTCTTTACTCCCTTAATTGCAAAAAGGAGACAAGAGGGTGATTAAACCCCCATTAGCAACCCAGGGATCCAGCTGCTAAGAAACCTTAGAAAAAGAAATGCATAAGCACCAGCCCTCTTTGCTGCAGTCCAAGAGGCCAAAACTCAGAAGAAAAATGGACTTGCTGTGATGGCTGCTTAGTCGACAGCCCTGCCTGGCTGCTGAGCTGTAAATCTGACAACACCTGGGGGATGCTCCATTTTCTAAAACTAGCCTCTTTTTGTTCTGAAGAATGCTGTGGTATAAATCAATAACGTTTCTAGACTGGAACTTTCTCGAGTAAACAGTGGAAAGGCACTGGGCAAAAAGAGGAAAATGCACAGTCCTCTGCGGGTTTAACACTAAAAAAAAATTTAGTAGGTAGTTTGCAGGAAACATGGAGGGTAAAGGAACAATGTAAATAACACCAGGAAGAAGCCACCATACAAGTCTAGAATATGGAACATTCTAGATAACAAGGGTTTCTATGAGAAGTCAATAGTAGGAAAAAAACAGGGAAGGGTCTGTTTTAGATGAAAAGTAACCTAAAAGAGATAGCTAATGACCAATTACAATGCATGGACCTTGTTTGGATCCTGATTTGAACAAACCAACTGTACAAAGCATTTCTGAGACAACTTGGGAAATCTGATAATGGAATGGATTAATAACAAAGGCTTATTCATTTTATTAGATGTGGTAATACTTGGCATTGTGGTTATGTAAGATGTCCTTATTCTTTAAGAGATGCACACTGAAGTATACAGGGGTAGACTCACATGTCTAGGTTTTATTCATCAAAGGACTTCTATTTCATTAAGGGAAAAAGAAAGAAATCAGATGAGGCAAATATGGTAAAATCCTGCTATTATTAAATCTAGGTGATGGGTTTATGGGGGTTCATTGTAATATTCTCTCCAATTTTGTGATGTTTGAGATTCTGTCATAATAAATATATGTGTATAGGCAAGTCTCAGGATGAGAAGAGCATCAATAAATTAACAAAAATGGGGAGGTTTGAGAGTGGGCGACATAGTGCCTTTGAAAGGAAAATAAAAATAGTGTGTGCTCCCAAACTTCAAGGAGCTCTGTGGAGATGGCTCCTTACTGTCTCTGAAAAGGGAAAAGAATACCTTTCATCTTGATGGAGAATTCCCCCAGCAGATTCTCCAGCTCCGCTTCAATGGTGCACATATTCTGTGAAGAGTCCAGGAGACTGGCATTAGAGCAAGGCTTCCTTTACAGCACAGCTCAAAGCACATGATGTTCTAATAGCTGCGGACAACCACTGCTTGAACAATAAGAGGCATTTACCTGTTTGCAGTGAGCTACAGAGCACTGCCTATGAAGCACTCTTGACAAGATGTTTAATCTAAGTCTAAGCAAGCGTTCCAGTGCACAGGAAATTTAGAGCATAGGTGAACAAGTTAAATTATGTCATGAACACTCAGATGAATCCAGAATGTGGGATATTCTATAACAACCAGCCTGGATTCTACAAAAAGGCAGTATCACGGAAAAAAATTCTAGATAAAAGAAATTAAAGAGACATAACCAAATGTGTGTGTTAACTTTGATTACTTCCTGATTTGAAAGTAAATAAACTAAAAAAGTTATAAAAGATATTTTCAGGCCAAATAGGGGAAATATGAAAATGCACAGGATATTAGATAATTCTACAGGATGACTGTTAATTTTCTTAGCTGTGATAATGGTATGTGGTTATGCAAGGGATACATGCGTTACACAGGGGACCATGAAGGGATCCGTGCTAAAATATTTATAGGGTGAAATGTCATGATGTCTACCACTTACTGTCAAATGACTCAGCAACAAAAGAAAAAGAAAAAATTGAGCGTGTGCGAGAGAAGGAAAGTAAATATGGCAAAATGTTGCCAATAGGTAAATCTAGGTAAAGGTATATGATGTTCATTATACTAGTCTTGACTTTTCTGTTTGAAATTCTTCTAAAAAAAAATTTGAGGCAAAAAGAGTCCAGGAGTTCAATTCTACTCACAGTGAGTGAGGCAGATCTCCTGCTACAATACCACGGCACCCCAAAAATGATTCCTGGGTCTGACAAGAGTCCTCTCCTCACTCTTTTTTTTTTTTAAATAATTTTATTTATTTATTTATTTTCCCCCAAAGCCCCAGCAGATAGTTGTATGTCACAGCTGCACATCCTTCTAGTTGCTGTTCTCTCCCCACTCTTAACGCTGAGGGAACAGTCAAGGCAGTTGGAGTGACACCATCTGTGCCTGTATTTAGATACGTAACTACCCCACCCTACCTTCTCAGTATCTGAGGACCAAACAGAGCAATCAGAGTTAGAAATCAAAAGGAAAAGTGCTGTGGCCAGCGGCTGTCCTCAGTGGGGCCCTTCTGCAGGGTGGCCACTTTAAGCTTTTGATGCCACCTCTTGCCACACTAAGCAGCAGTCCCCATCCCAGCCCCCAGGGCAGCATCTGCAGGCTTCTCCCTCCATAGTCAGCCTCATCAAGGCTGGGGGCTTGGGGTAGCCACTCCTACTAATGCCTGGCCAGCTCAGAGAGCACTGCCACGGATTGCTTCCATTTGAATTTTGTTTGCTGAGGACTTCGAGGTTGATTTGTAAGGCTAGAGGTTCTGATCTTACTTGTTCCTTTGTTCTGCTCTAAAAAATCCCTTTCCTGAACTGGTGCCCAGATGGGATGCAAAGAGAATGGCATTGCCTCTCCCCTTGTAAGCTCTTAGTACTTCAAATAGCTTAGCAAAGCTGGGGGAATCTTCCTGAAGTTTGATCTCTGTGCAGCTTGAAAGCTTTGAAAACAAAGTCTCAGTATTATAAATCAATTTTCTTCCTCAGAGCATTGGGCGTTTCTGTGAAGGAACGCATTACAGTTTCCAGAAATATCAATGATGTTATCATGCATGTCAGGATTGCTACTAGTGTCTTCGAAAAACTTGGGGGCAGCTAGTTTAATGGTTGAGGAACCCATGGTCAGAATTTTCTTCCTTCTCGCCCATGTAGCCATTGATGAATACTGCTGCACCCTAAAGGCTTGGTGATAAAATCCCGGCTTTTGTGGTTATGTGAAGACACAAAACCACCTGATGCAAATGAGGAATGAAGCTACAGAAGTCCTGGACTCCTTTCTTCTCTAAGGCACCCTTCCTCTTGCTGAACTTGTGCTCCACATCTTTGAGTTTGTGAGCAAAGTCTGATGTCATGTCTTGGCACTTGACCAAGGTGGGTATTTCTGAAATGACCTGCAAATGTTCTAGGACAGGCAGCTCCTTTAGGCTGCCAGTCAGTTATCTGCTCGTGCCCTGTGAATAGCCTCTATAATTGGCAACTGCTCTTTTGATTTCAGAGACATGTAGAAATGAGGTCCCATAAATTAGGGCTGCTTCTAAGACAGAGATTCTCAACCTGCGGGTCCATAAATTTGGATGGGGAAAAAAGAAAGTCACATTGTTATTTCCACTAACCTATAACTGAAATTTAACATGATAACATATATCATGAATGTAGAAAACAAGCCACAGCAGCATTATTACCACCTGTGACCTTGACACTGATAGAAATCACGTACATGTCCGTGTCACATCATTTGTTGCAGATACTTTGAAAAATCATTTATATTTTTCACTACTTTGAAATTTCAGTAGTTATTAGAGCTATTGCTAATAATTTGATGTGTTGATAAAACAGCAGCATAGCACTATATCACACATTTGATTTTTAAAATATTTTGTTAACTGTTCTGACAATATTGAAATACTGTATTTCAATATAATTTGTTTCCTTTGAATTCTTTATTTATTTATTTATTTTATTTTTAGTTTTTAATTTTTTTTGTGAGGAAGATCAGCCCTGAGCTAACATCCATGCTAATTCTCCTCTTTTTGCTGAGGAAGACCGGCTCTGAGCTAATATCTATTGCCAATCCTCCTCCTTTTTATTTTTCCCAAAGCCCCAGTAGATAGTTGTATGTCATAGTTGCACATCCTTCTAGTTGCTGTATGTGGGATGCGGCCTCAGCATGGCCCGAGAAGCGGTGCGTCAGTGCGCGCCCAGGATCCGAACCCGGGCCACCAGTAGCAGAGTGCACGCACTTAACCGCTAAGCCACGGGGCCGGCCCCTTATTTTTAAAAATACATTTTAAAAGCATTATTCTGAAAGGGGAACTTAGGTAAGGAAGCTCTGTTTTATACCATGAAAAGAAATAAAATTGGTTCAGACAAGAGGCGATGCTGGAGTGTACATGAGAAGCGATCCTGCTGTAAGTCATCCAAGAGGTCCCTCCCATCCCCGGGGCTGAGACAGATGCTCAGCACTGGGACTTGTCCAACAGACCCTCATCAGCCCGATGACTTCATTCATGAAATCTGATCTCTGAACAAAGACTCAGGGGATAGTGAGAAGTGCTGCTTTAATAATTCATTCATTTCATCAAAGACTTTGGTATCAGGTGACCCCAGGAGGGGCGAAGACCTCCCTGTGTCATATGCTTAGGCCCCAGAGACAGTCAGAGACCAGGAAAGCACACTTCTGGTCATGGTTCTTTATCTTGTCTCTTTTAAGATAGAAAGGAAATTTCTTACAATAAAATTATTGTGGGTGGGAGGGTTAGTGATACTCAGCATCCAGGGTAGCCATTTTAATCACAAAGTGTTCTACTCCCAGGGATAAAGCTAGATTAGACTGTACACTAGAGAATTTGGAAGTGCATTTAAATGACCAAAACCAGGGCATTGTGGCTTACTCATTCATTCACTGAAATTTTCGACAAGCATTTGTAGTCTACTTGTGCAGAGACTGTCAAGTCAGGATGGAGCACAGAAAGAAGTATAAGGGTTGGCCAGTGAATGGCTTCATAGCATCTAAAATCTTGTGGTTTTACAAGGCACTAGGAGATGAGTGCCTGACAGGTGATGCTCAGGGAATGAGAGAGGCACATGCTCTGGAGTCCAATGAAAGCTCTAAACCAAAATACAACCAACAAAACCAACCAAGAGTCATTTTAAACAATTCCACTGACAGCCTCAAAAAAAAAAAGCAAAGAGAGGCAAAAAGTAAAACTTATCTCTCTGAGGAGTGGAATGAGGTTGCAGGCTGCCATCCTCCTTGTTCTTGGCAGTTACCAATATTCAGAGCAGGCCAGGCGGGGTTCAGCGGCTGAGCAGGTTAGTACATACCTCTGTGTACTCTTTATAGCTCCGATTGATCTCGACCAGACTCTCCCGGGCAGCTTTGCTGGCAGGGGAAGTTGCAAAGGCTTGCTTCATTTTGCTGGCACCATCTTGGAGGCGTCTTTGGATACAATAAGCTTCATAGAGTTCATCTACCTGCCAGAATCAAAAGAGGGAACACCAGGGATGTAAATATTTATCACACTTGAAAGAAGTCACTTAGGCCACTGTTAGGTGCTTAAATACTTTATGTTTCTGACCTCAAAGGAGAATCTTGTAGAATGTCATCCTTTTAGATAGCGACCAATCATATTTGTTTTAGCCACTATGATGCATTTTCCATTTCAAAACAGATTTTTCTCTGAGACTTCTTTTCAAATTACACAAAATGAATGTAAACTTAACCTGGGTGGACTGTATGAGACAAATATTGGATGATGAAGACAAGAGTCTTCTATATATGGAACAAACACTGAAAGAGTTTATACAGTTTTACACCAAGGTGAAAACTTTGTAGTGTACTAGGTTATTATCAGTTTATTTTAAGAGATACTGTCAGAAGGTGATATTCACACATCCAGATTTAGCATTTTTTTAAAAGAAGAACTTGAGGCTATGTATTGAAAATGATTTTTGTAAAGTCTTGGCTCAACAATAAAGAGAGAAAATGAAGTTATTAAAATTGGGTGAAGCACAATTGTCAAAATTAGGGTGAAGCATAACTGTCAAAACTTATCAAACCGAACAATTAAGAACTGTGAAATTTTGGTAGGTAAATTATACCACAACTAAAAAAATAAATAGAAGCAATGGAAATGAATGTTTTCTCAGTTACACCTCTATACTTATGCTTCTCAACAATAATATACCCTTTGCAAATGACTTATTGATCTTACCCATTATATAAGCCTGGTAATCACTTAATGCTTCTAAAACAGTGATTCTCAATCAACCTAAGGCTATTTTGACACCCAGGGGACATTTGACAAGATCTGGAGACATTTTTCAGTGTCATAGCTGGGAGGTACTACTGGTGTCTAGTGGGTAGAGGCCAGGGATGCTGCTACACAACCTATAATGCAGAGGACAGCCCCCTACAACAAAGAATTATCCCCAAATATCAACAGGTTGAGAAAAGCTATTCTAAAGTTATTTCTGATGATGTTTATCTCTATAGTCTTGTGGGATCTTCAATTATCAACATACTAACTACAGTTAACTACAGGAATTTTCAGGCAGATAAAAAGGAAATATCACCAGGCATTAGCAAAAGCAAATGAAACCTATTACTTCTAGGAGGCAATTATCTACCTAGGACTACTTGAATTTTTCATTACAGGACAAACTTGTTCCCTCAAAAGGAGTCTTAAACATAGATCCAGAAGAAGGTGGAGATGAATATAATGGATTTCAGAATTGACAATTCCCCATTTCTTCTGAAGGCAAACTTTTGGCTGCTCACCAAAAGGCATTACTACTACCTGTTAGAGTAGGATAATTTTCCACAGTTGCTTTCCCTATAAAGATGTCAACCACACTTAGCTTAAAATATGAACATTGAGAGACTGAAAGTGATTCTCTTGGTTAACGGATTCTTTGTTGCTCTTTGGTTCAACAACTCACTCTACTTTGCTGACAGGAATTGCCAAATCTGGAAAGAACAGTCCTTTGTCTTTAGAGTCAATGGACTTTTCTCTGATTAAGATGGAGGCTCAAAGGGTAGCATATCTGCTGACAAAATCTTTTGGTTGGTGATTGGCATAGAGGGTGGTTTCAATACTTTAAAACTAAGCTAAGACTCATTCGATGAGCTTGTTAAAATGCTGATGCCCAGGCCCCACTCTAAGATGCTGATTCAGTAGGTTAGGGCTGGGCCAGGAATCTAAAATTTTAAATAAACAGTGCAGATCATTCTAATGTGGGAGATCCCCAGAAAACTTTTAGAAACACAAAAGCTGATACCGCTTCCAAATGCAGGCCAGGCTATTTCATCCATGTGGTCTCCTGGGATACTAACTTCAACCCTTTTCCCCACTACTGGGTATGCTGAAGTCTCTGAGATTATAATCTTCTCAGTAAGGAAAATCCTCACTGGATGACTGGTATAGCCCAAATGACTTAGTCTATTACTTTGCCTTTAATGAAAAGTCTATTCTTTGTTTTCATTTAAATATCAACCTATCCTAGTGAAATGGAGTTAAACTTTAGGATCAAGGATAACTATGTACTCATCTGAGCAGAAACAGGCCCATCTGTAGGCAAGCATTGGTCTTACCTATAAGTCAGTAGTGGCTCCTATCAAATAAACCCACTGACTCATTCAATTAAATATAATTCGTTAGGCATCCTGTGTACAAGGTGCTGCAAATAGAATGCTACCAACCTTTAATAACCACTAGGATTGTTGTATCTAACAATGATGGATACAAGATGGATAAATATACTCCTATCTAATACTGATTTTGTTTTCTTGCTGTTTTTCAGACGAAACAGAGTAATTTGTCAAAGCTTGCCTCCCCCATCAACACCTTCTAATAGGTGTCGTTGTTTTATTTATTGAGTTTAGCAGAAATAGGGGCAATTTTAGATTTTCCCAGGTAATAAATATCTTTCAAAGTGGGAATGTACAAAGACAGTAGCATATACATGTGTTTACATACATATAAGTCATCATAGAATTTTAAACTGGAAAGGATTCTTAGGAGCATCTATGAGTATGTACACCTCCCCAGCCCTATTTCACAGAGTGGAAAGCCAAAGTCCATGTAGATGATACAGCTCAGTGAGTACATGGCAGAGCTGAGACTAGAACCTAAAGCTTTTGACTCCTAGTAGAGAGATGTATTAAAACCTCCAGTCTCTCCACTTGGAAGAGAGGCGGATGAGTATGGATGTGAACAGGAATTGCTAATGGGGTGATTTAGCTGCCCGCCAAAGGGAAATTTTTTCCAGGTTGCCCTGGTATCTCTTGATAGTGTCCAGAACAAGATGCTGATAGTCCACTCCCCACTAGGCTGATTGGACCATCAGTGAACTATTTATATGGTTCAGGGCTGGATGTCAGGGACCCTGACAAACTGGTGCATGTCTAGGGGGGCGATGAGGATGACAGGCACCTGGAAACCACGCCATGTGAGGAGAAGTAGAAGGAACTAAGAGCTTGAGAAAGATTTAGGGAGGTATGTGACAGCTGTCTTGAAGTGCTTTACAGGCCTTAGGGAAGAAGTTTATGGGGTACCAAGTTGTATGTGGGACCAGAGTGTAAAGTTAGGCAAGCATGAAGTTTTTTGTAGGGTCAGTTTGGTTCAATCTTATCGCCAACCAGACTACACTGAGACTGTCAGCCCTCTAGCAGGCACTGTGCACACTACATAGGAAGAACTTCAAGAATGCTGTTGAACTGAAGGGGAGTCAAAACTGTGCCAGATTATCAGGCTTTCCATTCTCACTTTTCCTCCATCTCTACTGCCTGTTGGAGGACTTAATTGCTAATCAAATTAGGAGTCAATTAGACAGGAAATTCTCCACGGGCTCGATGCTATTCTCAAGCCACAAGTGTATTGATCAGTAACTGAGAACCGAAAAACAGGGGCAAAGACAACAGGAACTTCAATTACCTTACTAATGTGAAACTCCAGGCGCCTCATGTATCTTTCAGTCGTTTTAATTTGCTGGAATTAAAAGAAGAAGTTTGAAAAGTACAGTCATTTACAGTTTAATTAATGTAGACTTGTGAGGATATCTTTACTATCTCATACTCAACAGTACCAGACAATGCTACATAGTTGCCCTTTCCTCCTTTGTGGCTATTTTAGAGATTCTCTAGTATCAATTTGGAAAGTACTTTTTAAAATATTGAATAAATATTCTGAGAGATGAATTCAAGTTAGTTACTGGAATCCTTGTGTTTAACACCAAGGGAGGCCAATCAAATGGAATTCATTGGATTTCTGGCAGGACGATATCGTCTTGGAGTATACTTACATTCCTTCATAATAACATATTTTATCAGCTCGAAGATGAACTTTTTTCCTCCCACATTTTAGTGCCTCTGAAATTGGGGTGCATTTTACAATTGCTACTGCCTGTGCATGCTCAAAGATAATCATAATTATTTATGTGTCATCTCTTCATTTGGGTTATAAATATTATTACATGCATTAAATTTAATTACCCTTTAAAATGTTTGGAAACAGATTATTTTATGATTCAGCATGAAAGTTATTATCTATACAGAAAGGCATGGAAAGAGACAGCATCATATATAACTAAAAAAAAAAAATCTACATTTACAATAGGCCTAAAAGGTTTTGTCATTAAGTATATAAGATACAAACTTAAAATGAAAAGAACGTGTCCGAGTTTAACTTAAAAGCATTTTTTTCTTAGTGGCATATAAATTAATGGTGTGCTTTCCAATCAAGGATGTTTTCAATTTGATGAAATATATAGTTAATGTTTAGAGAGAACACAGGTAAGGACCTCTAAACACTTGGGAATTCTTCAACTTATCAGCACACCGAGAAACCCTACGACTGGGTGGCATTTTTATGGAAGTGACCTTAAACAGGTTATTGGATCTGTAGATCATAGTACTTACTCATCATCATTAGACAAGAGTGTGAATTTTTCCAGGATTAGAAAAATCAGTTCTCTAGGATCTTGTTATACCTAAGGGGAGATTACTGCCTTCTACGTAAGGATTCAGGGTTTTATTTTTCAGCCACACCCCAACACAGAGCAATAACTTACCTTGTCTAGGTCATACAGCACACCCTAAAATAAAAAAGGAATATCTGGATTAAAACATAACTTCCTCAAAATTGTTATGATATTAACAGGGGGATTTAAGCTGCATTTCTGCATTATCAGTGAAATAATGATCAGCCCCATAAAGTTCTGCTGGATTTTTTGACATTTGCTTTAAAACAGTAAAAATCTGGGTTATTTTAAATACCAGTAAGAGTACTTTTAAGAGTCAATATTTATTCATACTCTGTGTCTCCAGAATTCCACCCAGTCCTCTTGGCTCCTTGGGAGCTTTAAAGTTTTCACTTGCTTTGAGCTTTCCTTTCCTACATATTGAGGGGCACAGAAGTGCATGTTCACTTATTTATTTATTTTTTAAAAATTTTCTTTATGTATTTATTTATTTTTGTGAGGAAGATTAGCCCTGAGCTAACATCTGTTGCCAATCCTCCTCTTTTTGCTGAGGAAGATTGGCCCTGGGCTAACATCCGTGCCCACCTTCCTCTACTTTATATGTGGGATGCCCACTACAGCATGGCTTGATAAGTGGTGTGTAGGTCCGCACCCAGGAGCCAAACCCGTGAACCCCCAGGGCCGCCAAAGCAGAGTGAGCAAACTTAACCACTATGCCACTGGGCCGGCCCCAACTTTTTAATTTTTTTCAAAATAAATGTTGTCAACATAAAATGTAGCAGTGATATATGTGTTAAAAAAATACTTGCCTTCCTGTTTAAATACATAAAATTGGTATTTAAGAAGAGTCCTTGAGGGTGGTGATAGGGTTTTCACAAATTGTTTTTAAAGCAAGTTCATTTCCTGTGTGCTCACAACATCACAGTAGAACCGGTACACTCTCCCCACATCCCCCATCAGGAGGGCTTTTATGGAACACTAGGTCCTGGCAGAAGCCCCTCCACTGATTCGCCATTGTTCTCCAAGGAGAAAGGTTTGCTGCCATTGAGGACGGTCAAGGGCGCTCAAAAGCTCTGAAGGCCATTCCACAAGGAGTTCCACATAGACAGGGGTGATTTATGCTCTAACATCATTAGAATATGAAACCTTTAACTTCTATAAAGGCTTTAACCTCTAAGCCTTCGAAAAAGACAATATACATTTTAGCGCATCTCCTAAAAAAGAAAAAGGTGACAGCTATTAAGGAATAGCTGTACCTCCTAGGTCTATGTAGGCTTTTTTTGGGCTTTTTGATGCTCTGAAACATTAAGGTGTATTTATTTAGAACTAAACAAAATAATTAAAATAGTGTATACATTAGAAACACCTCTTCAACCAGACAAGCCCTCACAAATTCATCAGGGTAGAGGAAATTTGCAAGCATCTCAAACAATACCATGTGCAATAGAACCGGCTCAAGGACTCCTCCAACTTCTCCCAAAGGTTACCTCTAGAGCCTCCTTTCCCTCCCTGACATCACTGATCTATTACATTTAAAAACTGGAGATAAAGCAAAGTTCTGGGTTCCAAATTCTGTACTAATAATATGCTAGAAAAACTCCTACTTTTCATTTCCTTATATTATTTGGGGGAGAGGTATAGGGAGGTTTTTTTTTTAAGTGTTTTTTCCTGATTATAAAGTTTATCTGCATAAACATGCTTGGAAAATACTGAAAAGTATTAAGGATAAAGCATTAAGAAGAAATTGAACCTCCTTCTCAAATATACATCAGGAGGCACATAGTACTCTGCCCCTTGGATCTGCTTTTCTTAAAGATTCTTCCTCATCCCCATCCCCATCCAGTAAAAGAAGATACTTAGCCAAAAAAAAAAAAAAAAAGGAACACTGTGTTAACATCCTAATGACTGGATGGTACCCACCAGGCGAGAGTTTCTTTTCATATCTTTTAACTGAGCTGTCAACTTGTCCAACTCTGTCTGGTGAACCTCCAGATATTCACTGCAAAGATAAGATGAGACATAATCGTGAACTCTGTGACCATCAAGAGGAATCTGGGGCTGTTGCTGACCCTCCCTTCTGAAGGGGGATTAAGAATCTGAACCTTGCTCTGTGGAGGGCAGAGTTGGCAGGGAAGAGGCTCTGTATTTTCCCAATCTCTCAACATTTTTAAAACTCTAGCAGTTGCATCGGATACTATCCAGATGGTCAAAAGGAGAACCCCTGTGAGGCTGAAAGTCCAGAAAAGAAAAACCAATGGGGAGGGAAGGAGCAAGACACTATGGAGTCAGCCCTGGGTTGGGCTCACAGTATCCTATCTAGTTCACTACGACGTTGACTGTAGGTGTCTCACCACACACGGAAGTTTTATTTTCAGCAAACAATCCCTATAATCTACTCGGGAAGGTTTCAGAACACTTCTTCAGCAATCTAAAATGGACACGCCTGTCTACCATTGTTTAAGGGAAATCTAATACTATACAGAGTTAAATATAAACACACTACTATTTGAGGTCTCCTTCAATGTTATGGATGTGATGTGGAAACCAACATATTTCACATCTTTGGGACTCATTCAAGGCTTCCTCGATGATGGTGCAAGAATAAAATATCTATTACAGAAGAAGACATTTTTAAATTATCTCCTAAGACCAGCTTTTCTCTGACCCCCTGAGCATATTAGAAAGGAAAAAGGTTTCAGTGCAGTATTAGTTCGATGTTCTTACTCAAGTCCATTTTTCAAGGCCCTGTAGACCTCTTCCACCCTTGTAGGCTGAGGCTCTTTGGGATGGCTGTTATTTTTGTGTCCTAAATTATGCATTTTCTTCAGTTTGGCCTGAGGCTTCTTGAGAGTGGAGGGATTTTCAATGAAGGAGTTACATCTATGGAAAGAGAAAAGAAAAGAAGAAATTGTGAGTTCTGGGCATCCAAAAGGATTTGACCAAAGAAATGCCTTTTTAATCATCCTGTGTTTGTATTAGTATCTTTTGGGGGAGGTAATGTTCCCTTATATATTAATAGATCTGAACTATCCTACATTTAATTTCTTGGTATTAGATTTAATTGCTGAAATCTGGAAGCTTTGCTGTGCGTGTGGCGACTCAGAGTCAAAGCCTGGCTTCAGATAATGCTACTCTCTGAGTGAAAACATATTATGCCATTGAAACTTCATAGGAAGCCAAGGACAAACACTTCTGGTGGAAATAATGAACAGGCAGAAGGATATAATCCAACTAAAAAAATATGTGCAATATCAGGTACAAGCATCTATTAAATTAGACTAGAATGTGAATGAATACTTTTTGGATAAAGGGCCATAAGCATGACAAACGGCTTTCTATATAGCATTGTAGTAAAGAAAAGCACACATAGCTGGACTGACAGCTTTTTTTAAAGCTTTCTTTTAACGGAGTAAATTACGTTTCGATATAACATACAACTCAACATCTCTGTTAGTGGCAGGGTGGCAGCCTGCAGTGGCTGATAACTTAAACCCAAACTACAGATCTGATTAGGAGACCAAGAGGCCAGACCACTCACTGACCCAGCTGTCAACTGGAAAGCCGTGAGCTCCACATCTGGCAGGTGCCTGTTGTATGCCTCCCAGGTTAGTTATTAGTTATTTTCCTCTGCCATCACTGTGTGTACCAAAGGGGACAACACAGGGCAAAGCACATATGGCCCTTCAGAGTGTAAGACCTTTACCATGTCAGAAAAACTGAAGACAAACCTGACTCCATGTTACCTATTTCACTACCTGTGTTTTCTTTCTTGAGTTCCCTAAGTCCTATTTTAGATAAGGGAAATTCCAGGAAAACCAGAAGATTAACTTTCTTAAGCCTGTGTCTGAATGACATCTGTTCCCCAGAATCAATCTTGATCCACTGCATAACTTCATACCAAACATAGTCTCCAAAATCTGGATGTAATGGAAAATGTGCTTCAAAAAGGGGTGGGGGTAGGGAGAGCTATACACATATATTGCTAGCTTATCCTAAATCTTCAGCCATCTTCTTGGCAGGAGGAAATCTAAAAGATAGAAAAGAAACTACAGCACTTAGTTTTTAGTACATTACATCTTTTTCCTGAAAGACATTAAAATAACACATACGTGTGTGTTTTGACAAGGCTGCATGCACACAGACCCTCTTCAGAGGATCAAAGCCCGTGGCCTTCTCAAGCTGCATCTCAGGAGAGAACCACACACGACTTGCCTGGATCGCCTCTCCTGAAGACCGCTGAACCCCGCGAAGGACTGGCTTCTAATGATCCCATTGGGCCCTCCGGGAGAGAAGGACTGGGATCCTACCAACATGATTTCTGGAAGTCTGGCTGGTAGTCCTGTAAGACAGTGGAAAGATTATGGCAAATTAAAGGCAGGTTCAGACATAAACACACTAAGCTCGTCAACAATGATAAAAGGTGTGACACGAGGTGAGGTGAGGTGAAGTAAGTCATGAGGCCGTTAGATGCTTATAAGGCTTCTTTCCTATACATATTCTTTTTAAGCCAAAGGGTTCGTCTCTCAGATGAAGAAAAAAAGATGCCCACCTACTGAGACATAAATTACACACAATTATCAGTCACTTCAGGTTTTCTTCAGGGATTCTCTCTTTTTTTTCTAAACAAAGTTCAACCATATTTTCCAAAACACGAAAACTTTGGAATGTTTCCCTCCATTCAACAACAGCAGCAAAAACACATAAATAGGCCAAGTCCAAGTTTCAGACAGGGTCTGCATCACATTCAAAACACAGCCAGATCTTAGGGTGGACTTCTACACTTAGAAGTCATAAGGCTAAAAACACTAGGTTTCTTTAGAGTTGAACTTAAACTCATTCTTCTCTTTTCTAAAGTATATTTTGAAAGATAGGATCGGGCCACTATTGTGGCAGTGCAAAACAAGAAGAGGAAAGAGAGCACTCACAAAAGTAGCGATAATCTAGGTTATGATAAGAACACGAGAGAAGAGGGAAGACAGGTAAGAGCAGACAGCACACACCTCATTTCAGTTGCTTGCTCTGCTTTCGTAAAGACTCACCACGCCTGACCACGAGGCACTGTCAAGACACAACTTCAGCTGGACAGAAGCCCAACGTTAGCTCCCCCAAAGGACTGCCCCAGGACTCTCAGGTAATTCTATTCCCTTTGGATCAGGAAGAGTTGAAGCACATACCATGGTCTCAGCAGGCAGCCTCAGTCCAGAGAAGGGAAGGGGCTGGCAGGAGAAAGGGGAGGCAACTACTGTCCAGAATGAAGACTGCCAAAGTTGACAGACACCAAATTGGTGAGTTTGAATGGCAACAACTGCCCTTTAAAGATCCAGCAAGCAAGCAAGAAAAGCTAAAAAAACAACAGCAGAAGTCTCCTGTGGTCCACCTAGATGTAATGGAAAAGCCAACTTCGCTAGGTCCTACTCAAAGCTATAGAAGGAGCTCAGCCAAGGAAGGAGGTTTGAGTGAGTTGCTTCCCCAGAGAGAGAAGGACAAACAGCCCCCTCCCCCATGCGGGCTGCAGGTTTTTAAGTTCCCTCCCTTCGCCCCTCCCTCTTCAGAAGAAAGCAGCTCTGGGGTTTGTAGGCATTCTTGCAGCGTACAGGTGCTGCCTCACTCCAATAGACAACGGCCCTGCTCTTTGATCTGGGTGGGACTTGAATCCCATTCCAGCTGGGGTGGGGAGGGGGAGCTTAAATTTTGGAGCATTCTCTAGAATTTTGAGAGTCATTAAGTGGAAGTATGTGTGTGCGGTAAAATTAATATCTAGTGCCTGAATAGCAGGACGAGATGCAGGTGCAAAGAAGACTCTCTCTAGTTACTTCTCCCCACGCCCAAGGTTCAAAAATAACCATGATTCACTTAAATCCTTAATGAAGTTCTCCTAAGTGCTCTTTTGCTGCTGTGTGTCTGCTGCTTACTAAGAGGTTTGTCCACTTTTCATTAAAAACATCATCTTAGGTTCATAAAACATGCTTATACTATCTTTGTATCACATGCAAACTCATAATAAATGTCAAGAAAACACTGTAGTTTATGTTCTTTCTGTACTCAATAATTTTATAACCAAAAACCCAACTTAAAGGCTCAATTTGGCAAATTTTATTAGCATTGTATTTCATTTTCTAAATTACTGTTTAATAGGTGTATTGCATCACGGAATTCTTTGATCACAGGAAAAGACAACCTATTAGAAATATTTTAACTGTATGATTGTCTTGTACTTCCTAGAAATTATATTTTTAAACCAAAAAGATTTTTTTCTCTTAGCCATTGGATCAGTAGTTTTGACTCCCAACCCTGGCTCCCACTCCTAGGCATTCTGATTTAATTAATATGGAGTATGACCTGGGTATCAGGATTTTGAAAAGGTCCCCAGGTGAATTCTGATGCTCAGCAAAGCAGAGTAATAAAAGATGATACTAAGTTGGTTGAAATTTTAAAACTTCAATTAAAATAATCTGCTATAATTTCTCACATCCAACTTTTAAAAAATGCTATTCAGTCTTAAACAAACCTCTTTTTGCAAAGTTTAAATGTCTCTTTAAATAAATTAAAGATTAGAGAGGAAAACATATGAACTGGATTGTGAAATAACCTTTCTTCTTCCTCTTTTCCAGTAATAGGTAAGGAAGTTTCTTGAGAACAAAGTAAACGTTTGTCCCAGATTGTAAAATGCTTTGGGATCCTCAGAAACTTTTCAGTGCATTTACAAGTCGAATGGATGACCACTAGGAACAGGACGAGGTTTTGTTAATATTCTGTTTTGCCCTTCTGGTCTTAGAAATGATCACTATCGATGAAGAAAGAATTTGGCTGAGAGCTGGTTTAGGCTGAGATCTCTATCCTGCGTCCCCTAAAGGCTGACACACTGCCTAAGGAGAGTCATAAAACAGGAGTGTGCACCTCCCACACCAAGTGAGGCTCTTGGAGAAAAGAAGGAGTAGGTTGGGACAGGGGAGTACGAGGTATTAGGGACAGGAGTATACAAAACACCGGCCCCGCCCACACCCCTAACTGAAGTAGGGGGTTTAGTTCTTTGCTATTAGTCTGCCAGCTTCCTCAGCCCTTCCCGGTTGCTAGTTGCCCTGCAACTCTCTAACATCTTTTTGACGATGCCACTCCCCCCTCTTGTTGCCCTAAGTTGTCAGGCTGCTCCCTGGCTTCCTAGAAGTCCCACAGACCAGCTCTCTTCCCAGATTCCAGCAAACTACCCCTAAAGCTACACTACACTACTCATTTTTAGGCTGTAAGGACTTAAAACCGGTTACCCCCCTGCCAGCTTAATTTGCATTTTCATAGCAGATGTCTCTTTGAACCAAAAGCCTTCACCTACAGAAAGAACTACAGCAGAATTGCTGTATCACTGCTGGTAGGAATGTTCAGTGGTACCCAAAGTTTGCAGGACAATTTGGCAGTATCTAGTGAAGATGTAAGACATATCCTTTAATGAGTCACATCTACTTTTGGTATCTCCTGTAGAGATGTACTCAAGTTCACAAAGAGGCGTCTACGGGGATGTTCATGACAGGCAATGTAATAGCGGAAAAATGGAAATGATAGAAATGTTAATCATTACAGGAATGATTAATATGTTATGACATAACCATGGGACAGAGTACTAAGGAGCAGTTAAAAACAAGATGCCCACATAGAAAGATCCCCGGGACAAATGGCAGAATGAAACAGAGTATGATACCAGGAATGTTAAAAACAAAACAATATAAAATAATGTATGTGAATAGAAAAAGTTCTGAAAGTAAACAGACAGTCTATGGAGAGGTGGGCTTGAATGGTAGTCAGGAATATTTTAATTTTTTCTGCATTGTATTAATTTGTATAACAGAAATGTATTTATGTGTTATTTGTATGATGAGAAATTCTTTTTTGAAATTGCAGACATTTGGAGTTGTCCACAGTTGGGACTGGAGAGGAAAGAGGGCTCACATACAAGAGCATATAAGATAATTCTGATGAGTAACAGCTATATTTATATAGCTGTTTATATTTATGAGTCTTGCAGAGCAGAAATATGATTTCTGATAAATAATGTATTTGGTTTCATAAATTCTGACTACACCAAAACAATTCAGATTCCCCAGTGAAGTCCTTATTATGAGCTATGGACCAACTTTATTTTCATCTGCAGAACGTTTTGGAGATGGGACTGTTCTGGTAGTCTGCACTTTACCAACACATATTGCTAAATTTCACCAAATACCATATCTAATAAACAAGAAATTCCACATAAAACAACAAACTCTTCTTTGGATGCTGGTACTTAAAACTGCCAGGGCTTTGGAATATGTTTCTAGTCCCCAAGTTATTGAGTCTTCACCAATAAAGTCAGTCCAACTAGTCTACTTTATATATGCTTTTTATTTCTGATCTTAAGATATGGCCAAAGGTAACTTTCTGAAAATGCCAGCAAAGCTGACATTTGTTTGTGTGTTAAATCCCAGATAAGTTTCAAATCTTAAGCAAACGGTGAAGCTGCTATGGTTTGCTCCTTACTTTACTTTGTCCCAGGAAGCCGGGCAGCCACCGCTGCCCTGTCACCTGAACAATCCACGGGAAGAACGGAATGTTTCTGGAAAGAATTCCAAACACCTTGACGAAGAGTTAAACAAATCCCACCATTCTGCGCTGAGCCTCTTGGCACAGAAGCCAGAAAGCCACAGTTGTTTCTCTTCTTGACTCTTCACGCAATGAAAACCGTTGCCTTCTCCCCTGCTATGCAGCGCTGAGATCCATCTGAACACACACCAGGGTCTTTTGAAATTAAAATGAGCATAGGATTTTACATGTTCCGTTCTAACACAATGATACAGGAACACTGGGCCTTGGTGGGGGCAATGAGCCACTATCTGACATGAAGACCTTGAGTCTGTTTAAATTAGAAGGTAGCTCATCAAATCAGCAGGCAGTTTTTGGAGAAGAGCACTGACCCTGGAGACGGCACGGTCTGGGGTGGGGCTGAGGCAGATAAAAAGAGATCAAGAGATCAGAGACCCCCCCTCATCCCAGCAGGTCTCATGCCCTGTTCGAACCAGAAATAAAAGGTAGAATATGAAGGCAATTCAGAGAAGGAAATAGCCAGCTATCTGGAGAACTTAGAGATAAGCTGACCCTCAAGAATAAATGAATGAATGATAGAAATCAACCTGGGAGGGTTGCTTGGAGGATGGGCAATGAAGGGCACAGATCACCTAGCAGGACTCTACAGCAGGCCCCAAACTGCAGCTCATGGCAGTGCTACCAGTAGAAGTAGTAAAAGTGGAAGAAAAATGTTTGGAAAATTCAGTTTAAGTGACAGTTCCATTTCCCATTACATTTTTATAAACTGGTATTCTGGCTTATACTTTCCTGTGAGTTT